GTTTGTTGTTTCAACTTATTTTATATAATTTTGCAAAATCATTGGCAAAGTTCTTGTAATGAAACAAAATCACAACTTAAAATAGTTTTAACTACAAATCCCACATCTAACTAAATAAGTCCTTTATGTCACCTTGAGAACGTTTGTATCATCACAGTTTTTGTGCCCTGCCCCTCCCCTTTATCCTTACCAATGCTAAGTCCTTTCTCTTTTGCTTCATTTTAAATAAATATTACATCTCACACTTGAGGAGTTGGAAATTTCTTGTCAACCAATAACTGAGTAATGATTCTTAGGATGAGTAGACAGTAGCTACGTTTACATGGACATAAGTAATCAGATTAAATGGTCGTTCGGAATAAAAATGCGTCATGTAAGCGGCTCGTTCAGATTATTCTGATCCGATTGAGCTCGATCCGAATGAATTTTTAATCCAAACAAAAGGGGTAGGTTATGCCGATTGATAATCGGAATGATTTTAATGTAAACACTTAATCGGATCATCTTATTCTGATTGTAGAAAACTAACCTGTGCGCATGTCTGCTGACTTTCATTCACCCGGTTCTGCTCTTTAGAGGAGGTGGGASAGCAGCGCTCCAGCTGCGCTGCACCGCGCAGAACTTTTCCTCCACGCTCTCTTAACAGATGAAAAAGGAGACAAACAGCAGACGTTGCTTCGCAAAAAAAAAAAAATAAAAAAACACGTATTGCTTCATCTGCAGCTCAACCAAGGAGTAACGGCGTCTCTACCGTTATTAAAATCTGACACGGGCCCGTCCTGAGCACACAGAAGAGCTTTGTTTACGGTTGTAACACGGAAGTAGGGCTGAACGTTTACAACACTGCGCATGTCTGGACTTTTATTCTGAATAAAAGTCCGATGCATGTAAACACTTTTCATGATCGGATTGCGTCCATGTAAACAGTACATTCGGATTATTTAATCTGAATACATTTCAATCTGATCAATACATTTTGTGCATAGCTAATGAGTTGTTGAACCAAGTTATTTCAAAAGGCCATGTTAGTTCTGGTAAAACTGACTTTTAAGTTAAAAATAAAGTTGTTTTAATTTGTTCAGTTGAGAATTTTTTTAAATGACCAAAGAGTTTTAAGTCCTACTCACAGTAAAATGAACAATTAGCAAAATAGACACTTTCTGCTGCATTCACACATATCATCTCTCCAAAGTGTCTCAAAACCTTCTTAATATTCTAATGTGACATGCACAGGCTTATTTGTTTTCCTTGGAATTTTGAACATATTCATAAAGTTTGTGCATCCAGTTTTCTGTCAAAATAGTTTGAGTTTATGTCGGCATCTTGAACCCATTTATTTTTATTAAATTATACTGGTAGAGCACACCTACACAGGAGATCTTTTTATAACGGCAAAGATTTGTGGCCACAGCCAATAGTTAGTCAAAAATAAAACGTAAATATTTAAAAACTTTATTTCAAAATTTTACTYCAGTCGATTAAATCCTAAATGTGGAGATGGCTGCCAAAGTGGACACAAAGTAAGCCAAGACATGGACAACGGGCCTCATGCAAGAACATGTTCGTATTCTTATCCTAAATTTCTCTTACTTTTTGTTCGTACAAAGGGTTCGTACGAACATRCCACGTCAGATTCAACAAACTCTTCTWTCTTCAGAAAAAGTGCGTAAATGAGCTGCGTAAATTCCACCTGTTCGTATCCAGCTGCTCGTGCACGCGAGACGAGATTAGCATAATTACCACCCCAAAAACACCATAAAAGGCCATGTTTCCTGCCTCAGAGTGTCCATTCATGAAAATGACAGCGAAAACTAAAAAGAAGAACTTTAYGAGTTCAGAGATTGAAGTCCGTCTGTCAGAGATCCAGAAAAGAAAATCTGTCATTTTTAGCAG